ACTCATTCCTCTATACGGTGTGATGATCGCGTTTTATTCGTTCGTTTTAATGCACCTCTCTGACGGTCCTTTATGGAAGCATATGGCTGTTAAAGAGTCGGAAAGCTGTCAAACAAATTGGTGGACCAACCTACTGTTTGTAAACAATTACGTCAATGTCAATCAACCAGTGAGTGCAGAAATGTTATACTATATTACTTTGTAGAATAGGTACTTACGGCCTCCGGGACTGCTCAATATTGTTATTGTATGATTAAAACTATTTCATGCCAACAGTGCATGATTCAATCCTGGTATATGGCGTGCGACTTGCATCTGTGCGCAGTGGGCATACTTATTGTGTATTTTGTTTGGAAATTTCCGAAGTGCGAAAGAATTGTCCTGATGAGTGCAATAGTGGTATCGTGTTTCATTTCAGCTTATGTTGTGTACGACCACAAATTTTACCCGACGTTTTTTGGTTTCATATCGTAAGTGCATAATATTTATACAGTACAACAGGCGATTATTCAACATAGGTATTTATACATAAGTGCACAAATTATATGAGATATTCATAGACTACTATATTTTTTTAAGATTTTTGGATTTCAGTAAAAACTACTAAATGAATTACATTTTCAAGCTTTTTTTGATCGAGTTTAAATATTTTTATCAACATTAATTAGCTTACAATTAGTCGAAATAGGTATTTTAGGTAAACAATATTGTATTATCATGAAGTAGAATGTTTCGTGTTTTTACAACTGTTACTTTTTGAGTTACAACAAAAAAAAAACAAAATCGATTTGGTCAAAATAAGATGGTATTGCATAAATTCCTGTTTTCCCGGTTATTTTGAAAAGTACGGTAAATTTATTGCTATATTCATTTTTGAAAGTAATACTTAGTATTAAATTTTTTTATTTTAAATATTAAAAAAATGAATAGGTACTTAAAAATAAACTATTATTTATTTAACATAAAATAATTTATTTTTTATTGGGAATATTATAAAATATGTTTTTAAATTAAGAATAAGGGACAAAATCTTTTTCAAGACTTATTGATACAACAAAAATCATTTTATGCGGTGAATATAGATTTCTAAAATATGTAATACATGATTCATGTAACATGAATATTGTAATTTTTTGTATTCGTCATATGAAATAAGATAAAAGTAGTACTTTAGTATAATAGTATAAATTAGGTATATGAAACTCAAAACAAGATATTTTCTAAAACTTGTAATTTTAATAATAGATTTTTTCAAAAAATAACCGAAAACCTATTGACTATTGGCTACTTTTTGTCTATAGTTCACACAATTTTCAAAAAAGAAAAATAATTGTAACATCGGTTTTAATTTTAACTTTATTTACCCCGACAAGATTTTCTCATCAAATCTTCTATTTACAGACTTAACATTTTAAAGTTAAATATAAGTATCTAGGTACTCAATATTATACAGAGGTTCAATCACAAAATTTAATTTTTGATCATTGAATATTATGAAAAATAGTTAAGTATGTGTTATTGGAAGGGATGTAGATAAGTACTTCTAGTTCTATAGCAATAATATGCGTAAACTTCTGAATTTTACCGGACAAAAAAAAGCTTATTTTTGATCGCAGGAACTTGAAATACCCGCCGAGCCACGAAGAGTTCACTCTGCTGTACATACCCACGCACACGAGAGCGACGCCTTACTTGGTGGGAATGTTCGCAGGTCACGTGTACCGGACCACGAGAGCCCGGAAGCCCAACTTCCGGTTCCCATTTCCGACACTGTGTCTATGGACGCTAGTCGGCGGCTGTGTACTATGGATGATGTCCATCTTCTACTTTTTCGTACACGAATACAGCGTGTGGGCGAGCGTTTTGTACGCGCTCGTGTTCCGTCTCATATACTCGGCAGCGATTTCGGCGTTTATCGTCGTTTCCGCAGTAAACACTTGTTACACAGGTAGGTAGCCGAACACAACGACAGATGTCCCTCCAAAAACCATTTATTTATTTATCATTATAATCATACCATAATAATAATATTGGCCTCATATGTTATATACCTATACACAATTAGGATCTTGGACATTGATACTCGCGCCGTTGGGTAGACTCACGTACGGAGTGTATCTAGGAGGATTGTCAATACAATTGTTCTACGTGTCTTCTGCGCGTACTCAAATATATTTCAATCAATTCCTAGTTGTAAGTAATATTACTCTACTATTATAGTGGTACCTATACTATAGCGTACCCATAAAACATAACATACAAGATATTTAATAATTAATAAATATATAATTTACAAAGCATGCTCAATCAGCACCGTCTGTTCTTTCTGCTTGGATCCGATTTATGCTACCATTGAGCTAAAAATCAACTCATTTTTAAGGCTCCAAAAGTTATTTATCCAAAAAAAATAAACATACATCATTGTAAATTAATACGTTCATCGTGCTTCTCAAAATCTAAGTTATTTTTATTTCATTAATTATTTTATCTCATTTGAAAAAGTGAAAATAAAAACAAAACGACACTCTATTTTAAATTTTACTGTATATTTATTGAAAACATTCAATCAGTGTGACTCAGATTAATGTATTTCTGGATATTTTCAATGTCACGCTATTTATTTAAGTTATTATAAAAACGATAACTGCCAACAGTTTTGCATTTACTTCTCAGTTCTCTCACGTTGTTACATTGACATTTGACACGGACTGAATGTATAGACGTATATAGGTATACAATGTAATAAATGCTTAAATGCCTAAATATTACTCCTTATAACACGTTATGCTCTATATTAGGAACCTTCCTAATAAATGTATTTAAATTCTAGAATTTGGAATTATTAATTAAACAAATTAACCAATGGACCATGTTGACTAAAGTGTTCTGTGCAGCTGTGCACATGATACCAACTTGGTGAATGAGAACCACCCTTATTTATAATTTTTTTGAAAATATTTCTCTATCTACCTAACTAAATCAAAATGTGGACAAGTAGTTTTAATCAAAATGTATACAAGAATAATAATCCTTAAAATGATTTAATAAAAATATAAAATAGTTATAACATTTAATCTACAACTTATTATACTCGACAGTTTTTACAAATATTATAAGATATAGATTATGAATTAATATTAGGTAGGTAGTTGTTATTATTTTCAAACCATCATAGCCTCAAATTGTTTAACCCATCTATCATAACTACCTACACAAAGTTAAAGAATTCAATAACTACTCTTCGAATTTTGATTAAGATTCATCAACATTTTCAAAAAAAAATTTATTGCTTATTATTAGTAGCTATTAATGTACAAAAAAGATTTTGGTTCTCATTTGAAAAAAAGAAGTTTTTACATGGTACAAAAGACAATTATAAATATGATCAATATAATACATAGGTACCCAAGATTTAAATAAATCATAATTCCAGTAAATGTATTATTTAAGGAAAAAATAGGTGTGAGCATGTTTGTTAAATGACCCTCAGACCCTATATATAGGTAGTTAGATATACCTCAAAAATCTAGCTTCAAGATAAAGCCCAGATTTTCTTTTAAGTTCTTGACAATTAATCGATGGTGTACATTTTTATTAATAGTCATGGATCGTGATCGGTGATTTAATATATGGATTTATCATTGCATTCATACTATACATGTTGATCGAGAGTCCATTTGAAAATCTATTGAAATTATTGATCAAGAAAATAAAAGGAGGTAAATATGAAAGGTGGATCAATTATTATCAGTTGTTTAGAGTACTAGTCTTTAGAAATGATTATAACTAATAAGTTTTTGAAAATGTATTAGCCAGCTAGGTACAATTACAGTATGTAGGTATATGTCATTTCAAATTAAAGGTCAGGCATTAATTTTTAAAAATAGTTTTGAAATAACATTATACAGTAGGTACAAATATCATTTGGGATATTCAAGTGATTATCAAAGTTATAACACAATTGTTATTAATATTTGCTTACAAAGCATTTAATATTTTTAGGTAGCTACCACACTTATTAGTAGTTATACAATTATTTGTCCATCTACCTATTATATGTGAAACTAATTTGTATTAAAAAAATGTGCATTTATTTGAACAAATTGATCAATATACATATTTTTGGTTTTATATTATCTACTTACCTAGGTACATATAGATCAGGGATGGCAAACCTTTTTGTGCCAGCGTGTCAAATAAAAATGTTGGTTGGATTTTGTTCTCCCTGAGTGTCAACTCGTTCGATAAACCTTCGATCTTTTTTTAAAAAATTTTTACACATTTGTGTGTGTCACAAAAATAGTGTGATACACGTGTCATAGGTTTGCCATCTCTGATATAGGCTATAATTATAAGATTGTCTTTATTGATATGGCTATACATAGTACATTATTATTACCATCATCAAATTATTCAAACATCAGACTTGGAGTAAAACTATTTTAATTACATACTATGTATGGTGATACAATTTAAAAAAAATTAATTACAATTTTTAATTCAGGAAAACATGAAACTGAAGAAAAAATACCCAATGCTGTCGAAATGGTACCACATACAATAGAAATAAATAGTTAATATTAATTAATTAAATATATGTACCATGTCACCAGGATATAAAGTTAAAAATACTTAAATTAAGAAACAAAATGTTCCTTTATAGATATTAGATTGTAATACCCTAATACCTATTGTATAATTATTGTTATATTTGTTTTGATTTTCTAGTTTATTTCAGAATTGTTGTCATTGTCAAACATTAAACATTTTTTATTTACTTTACTTCATGTTTCTAAGTATATTGTATATAGGATGCATTCTCGGTATTGATATGTCAAATGTAGATTATAAAGTTGTTAAAAATGCATAGCAGTTGAAACTTTAAAAGTAATTAATTGTTATAAATAATGGATTAGAGTCTATAGATCCTGTTGATCCGGATATTGTACTATGGATCAGAATTGAAGATGTTTCACAGGATTTCACTACTGATATTTGTGTTGGTTTTAATGATGTCTGCAGTCTTTAATTTCAGATTATCCATGCATACATTTTTACAATATAAATATAAGACCAATTTAAAAATTTTATTTGTTTAAAATATCAGCAGGTATGCTATTTACACTATACAATATCCATATTATATTATTTATATTATCTATGGTGATACCTCTATTTACCAACAAATGATCATTTTTATCTGTCTCAACTGTAAATAAATGCACATGTTTACACATTCTCAATAAGAAAAATTGTTGCTCTGGTCTACTATAGAGTTACTCATTTTTCCGTTCAAAAGGATCAGTCCATTTGTTCATATCTAGAATAAAACATAACGGATAAGGTTATAATTTTATAAATTAATAAGCTAATAATCAATAAAAAAAAAATTACATACTTCCAGCAGCTTCAGGCCTTATTCTAGATTGATCTAATTGTGCACGGTTTTCTTCTTGTGACTTTTCTAAAAAAATATTTTAAATTTAGACAAGTTGTATAAAAAAAATCAAATTAGACCATCTTTTAAATAACGTAATAACCCATCTTAATTGCACTCACTTCAAAGTAAAATAGTGATTTGCAGTACTTGTTTTTAAATAAATTTAAATGTGTGACCTAATGTGGTGCAGTGGTTGTATTCAGTCACGGAAAGTGTTCTGAGTGCAAACATTGGCCAGTGTCACTAATTCATGGATGAGTTCCAAACCAAAAAATACCCCCTCCCTTACCAACAACGAATGGCCATAGTTTCTGGGCTCAACATCAATTATATAAATAATTTAATTTAATTTAAATTTAATGAAAATTAATACGTTTAAAAAAAACCAAAGTACAGCTTATTAACGTCAGACTAACAACGAATGATTATATTTTAACAATTTTAATTCTTCATAAAAGTAATTAATAATTCAAGATATTAAACACATAGATAGTAACAAATATTTAGAGTAGGTATATAGCATTTTAGCAATTATAATAGCTTAAAAAATGGGAGCAATTATGAAAAAATTTAGAAATTGCAGAGTATTGTGTAATGTTTGAGAATATTATACTCATTTTATATTAAGTTTAATTTGAAAATAGTAATAGCTAATATGTCGACATAGCTACATAAAAATGATTTTAAATCCTTAACTATACATTTATACTACTACATTATTTTTAATTCAACTTACTATAATCTTCAACATGGGTCATTGGATAAATAATGATTGGGTAAGTTGCTATCCCTATGCTGCCCACAAAAGCTGATAGGAAGGCAACATACTTCCATCCTTTAAGCTGAGACATTCAAACTGAAAGTACCTAACTCAAGTTTTATTGTTCAACTTTTCGTTAAAAAAAGTAAAAGAACTCAATATTATTATATTATTAATATTATGAAAAGAATATTTTAGTACTATCTCATTCTCATACTCATGAGAATACTTTACATTATCATTTATAATTTTAGTTTTGAAAAATAGATAATATTATCTCGATACCTCTGTTATCAAATTTTAAATTTTAAAATGTCATTAAGTATTTAACATGAAAAATGTGTTGGTACTAAATACTTATCTATGGTTGGTACCAATTTATTTATTTTGTGTGTTTACCTTGCTTGTGTAAAGTATTCAAATATTCTGTTTGATGTCAAAAAATATTACACGAACAAAAATATAATTTTGCTTTCTAGCTATTAATTATAGAAAAGTATTTTGTGTATTCTAATTTAGTTACAAATGTATAATACAACATTATGACATATCTGTAGGAGTCCAGTGGCTCCAAAGTCTAACATTCTGTCCATGACACGGATTAATATATTAATGTTTATGATTAATATATTAATGAGCACGGTTGTATATATCACTGTGGTAGAAGTAAAATAAAAGTATTTAAAAAAAAATGTATTTTAGACCATTCTGCCCTTTGACACTTCTACCAAAGCTCTACGAACTTCTTGATCCTCGGCATCTTCAATTATTGCTCCCATTTCTTTGTCCCAATCTCCTCTGATCTTCCCACCGATTGTTTTTTATTTGACTTGTTACTGAGTCCGCACACCATACGTGGCCTAAACATCCTTAGATAATCAAGGAGGTTGGGTCCATTGTACAGCCAGTTCAAATCGGCATTCTTTCTTGGCTCATCACACCAGTTTAGGTCCATATATTTTCCTAAGGAAGCTTATTAGTTATTATTATCACCATGTGATACATCTGTACATGACGTAGAAAGTAGGCAATGTATTTATGTATAACTTTTTCTTATGCTTAATTAATTAATAAGTACATTTATATTTTATATTACAGTAAAGGTTTAAGATGAAGGCTCGAGTCATTTTTCTGACCCCTCTGTAGACTCCTGATAGTTCAATAGTTAGCAACACATACCAATCATTATTATTGATCTATAAAAAATAAATACTATGAATAAAAATGTATTTACATTTTACAGTTATTTATTTGCAAAAAAATATAATTAATAATTATACAAAAACATATCTCAGCTATGTAATTCTGAGATTAGATATTTAATCTAGTACTTGTTAACAACTAAACATTAAAAATATAATTTTTCAATTCAATTTTTTCATAAAAAAAACTTATTTGGATTAATATTTATAAGTTAACAAATTATTGTGTTATTTTTTCCATTTTATACATCTATAAGCTTTGAAATTTGACACTTTATCATCTAAATGATCATAGTTATATGATTTAAAACAAGATTCACACATATGATTTACAGTTAACGGGGTTCTGTCATCATCATTCAGCATAACAATACTGGCTACGCTTTTAGAGCAAAATATACAGAACTTTAATTTTTCTTTAGCTACACTTATGATTCTTGGATAATTGGTTTGGCCAAGACAATCATTAGGTTTAGCAACGTTGATTTCATTAAATATAAATAGATGTTCACAACGTCCTAAATGTTGGTAAACATAGGGTTGGCCGATGCATATTTCCAAATCCAAAAGAGGAGTATCCATTGATAATATATTTTCAATGGTGTGGCCATGATGACTAGCCCAACTTTTCATTGTTTCAGCATGCTCCAATGTACATCTATCAGGTAAAGAGTCGACATATAAATTATTATTTATATAAAACATACCATGCTTCAAATCTGAGTTCGCTATGAATTCTAAAAACAAAATAAACAATAATCCATTTTATTATATTTTTAAGTAAAAAGAAATTAATAAAAATGTTTAAAATGTATGAATATAAAATATTGTGAGGTATTAGGTAAGTACACTGATATACATTTTTGTTATTATCTTTTACTAGTGCCCAAAAAGTTGCATGTACCTAATCTCTTTAAAGATCAGACTTCGATTCTAGATGGTACTACTTTGAAGAGTTTATTAACCATCCATAAATCATTGAACCATCTACTGACCACTTATAATTTACATATCTATATAAAAACTCAAGAGGGATGTATAAAAAAAAATGTTGAGTTACCCAATGGTTTATGAGGGTTTTTGCTTACATCGCCACTGATTTCACTTTCTTCATTTTCACACTTAAATCTTTGCTTAACATCTTGAAGAGTTTGTGTGTCATAAAATTGAAGGGATTTTTGGCAATGTGGAATAACAGCTTCATCAGGAACTTGATTTTGTGTCCAGTGAAATGGATAATACATTGAAATTGTAATTAATAAAGTTTCACCAGGCACAATATTTCCTCTTGGAGTAAAACTGGGTAGTGGAGTATACAACTTTGTTCTCTTAGTCTGATAGAAATCACTTTTCATGACATCAAGCGTTCGGAGATTACTACTAGTAGTATCGTAAATAGGAAAAACATAACGAGCACATAATGTCTCCGGTGAATCAAAAACATCTTGAAAATTATATTTCTGTAATTCTGTTTCCCATTTTTTTACTTCATCAGGTAAATCAGTTAAATCAATATCTGGATTAATTGATTTTAATTTTTCAAATACTAGACGATCAGTGATCTTTGACATTTTAACTTGATCAACTTTATAAGCATTCTCTGTCTTAAATTGTCTTAGGTTAATTGGTTTAGATATGTAACAACCAAGAAGTGAATCGCTGAACTCCATTGAAACTGATGATTGATGTTATCCCACTTATTTATTCTGTAAAAATAAAGTTTAAAGGTTATCATTATTTCAAAAAAATAAAATAGCAACAGGTACTTCAAATATTTACTTTAATATAGGTAGGTGTTATAGATTGTACTAAAGTGTATTAAATATCAGTTAATAACTTATTTATGATTATTTTAAAAACATTTTTGTTGATCTATAGGTAATAATTATTGATAAACGTCACCTACCTAACAGGAATTAAATAGACTTAAATTAAGGCATTGAGGTACTAATAATTTATATTTTAAATTCATCTAAAAATATAATTATGCACTAAATATTAATATGTATGTACTACCTATGTAGTTGATTCCTTCTATTAAATGAACAAATTAATTTAAATACACAAATGTCTAAGCAGATAACTATAATTACAGTATACAAATATAATATAATATGGTATAATATAGCCAGCTTACAAACTAAATATTTTACTTACTGTTCGACAAGGACATAAGGTAAGACGGTGGTCCACGATTCAACTGGCTTAATGCGATGACAAATAAATTAGTTAATTAATAACTAGTAACTTAATTTACATTTTACTTTGTTAATTTGTTTTGTATGCAACAACGCAACATGCTGTCTCCCTTTTTACACAGTCGTCAGTCAGTAGTAGTAGTCACACAGATTTATTTTTATATGAACGCTGTTGTGCTTGAATGATAAGACTACCGGTTTTTGATAAAGCTATCATATTTGTTGCCCATTGGTCACATGCGGCCCGCGAACAAATTTTATCATGCCTTTCGACAATAATAAAAGAGTAAAAATCGTTAATAGTATACGTGTTGTAAATTTGTAAGTTACCTACAATTTTTGATCTTAACGTTTTTACCGACATCAGCAATTGTGATGGCCTTTGAAAAATTTCCAGATTCTAAATGTGATTCTAATTTCTAAATTTTCACTTCAAAAATAATTATTGGTAGGCGCAATAAAATAAATCTTAAATTTAACCGCTTATGTGAGCTCACTATCCAATTTTATGATTAAAATAATAATTATTAATTTTAATAATTTACCATTATTTAATTATACATTTGCTATTTGCAGGTACCTCAACTAAGTAAGTAGGTAAATTCTTAGCTCTGCCTTCATGTAAATATGCGAACAACAGGCACGTACACAGAATACAATTTCGGGGGGGGGGGGGGGGAAAATATAGCAATATAAATTGTACAGCAACATAATAAAACAATTTCTTCCTACTTACTCACTATTTTTAATGTGACAATTATTATGCTAAATATTCAAACGTTATGTACCTATGTCATTTATTCAGTGTTCTGAAGTAAGTATATTTAGGAAATATGAATATTAGGAATAATAATAGAAATAATAATAAATGAAACTTTAAATAATATGTATTATGAACGTCGAACAGAACAGAAATGTATTTGATTATTATATGCACATACAATTACCCAGGTATATTAAACTTTTAAGTAGATAGAAGAAAAAAATCCAAAAAAATGTATATGTTTTATAAAAAAAAAAAATACAAACCTAAGTATAAGATCCCATTTTCGTGGTAACATAGCAAATCAATCTATAATTTCTTCCACATTTAAATCAATATTTCGGTATATGTTTAGTAAGGCCAATCTAGTAAGTCTCGTTTCTCCCATATTGTTTCGTAAGTATGTTTTAAGTCTTCGTAGAGTTGAGAATGACCGTTCAGCAGTAGCAGTTGTAACAGGCAATGTGGCCAAAATTGTCAAAAGACTGTGAATGTTTGGGAAAAAATCATAAGACATTGCAGACAAAGTAGTCAATGATGTAGTAGGACGGTCTCTATCAGATACATTTTTCCATTTAGCTAGCCATATTTTAATTTCTGCGTCAAATGTTTCATAATTAGGTAAAATGAACCCCCCCCCCTGTATACGTGCCTGGCGAACAAAAATAAACTGTTTTGAGCAATTAAGATGTATCAAATAATTTCTTTCTCCCTCCGACAGGTATTCACGCTTGGAACAATAATTTCTTATCAAACGATTCTAGTTTTTTTTCTGATTTCAAAAACTTTTAATCGTTGAAACTTGGAACATTCCATTGTCGATAAAATTATCATTTTCTTTACCAAATGAAATTTTCAAAAAATGTTTAACACAATTTAGCTATTTTTTAGGCATTTAAAATTTCGAATTTTTTTTTGAAGTACAGATTAAAATTTTTAATTTCGGTCAAAATGCTTGAAAGTGTAATACAAAATCCCACATTAGTTAACGATATGCACTTTGTACTTGACACCTATAGGTTATATAGTTTGGTATACCAGGTATACTGTACATCAACTATACAGAGCGGTAACCTGTTTACCTACTTATTACTTCCGGTTCCGGACTTCCCTCCTTTTTTTATTTATGTTTTTCGTTTAATTGTTATTTGAAATAGACTAGATATTAGCATATTGCAAAGACCTATGACTTCGACAACTGTTCTGTGACTGTAGCTCCACAACTACCTATATGTCTTATATAGTAAATTACATTTTTATTGCTTCTTAAGATGCATTTATCTGTTGTATCCCCTGTTTCTCTGCACGTTGTTAATACCGGTTATATACCTATATTAAAGTAAGTTCAATACCTGTTTGGATTTGGAATAACTGTAAATTTGAAATTGATATCGAAGTCTGAAAAAATAAATACCTGTATTCAAAACTAAAATTGGAAAAAATGTTTTCGGTCTGAAGTCCTGATTAAAATTGTCAAATTTATTGATAATTACATTGTACAACACAATTACTGTACCTATTTATTTATTTTATATATTTTTATTACATTTATATAATTTATTCAAGTATTATTGAAATTTGACATTATATTAAAAATGTATTAAATTCATTTTATCCATTTTTAATTTTGTATAATATTATACTTTCGTAGTTTCGTCAAAACCACATTATATTTTTAACGATACATCGTGGCCTTTTTAGAGATGATTTTCTATTTTACATTTTTTCGTTAACCACATCATTATTGTACTGTTTATTGGATTTATAATCAAGTCGATAGTCGATAACAATCGGACAATTATATTGCAATCACTGAAATACTAACAGCCTGAATCACGTTTTGATAACATGTCGTGTGCGCATTTCTCAATTTCTGTATCACGCGTACAGGGACATTGACCTTGTTCTCGATATGTGGTAATGAACTAATGTCTATAATGAACGTATTATAATATTGTAATATTATATACAAAATATAAAGAAAATGAATACCTAATAATTTGGTGCAGTGGAGCAGCACTGGCAAACGGTAGTACAGCAAGAGTGCAAGACGCAAGGCCGCACGGAGCACAGACATTGTATCAAAATTTCATAAATGGAAATAAACTTATAAGAGGAAATCTCATCAGCATCAGTATTGTCACTTGTCACCGTTTTACAAATGCTTGAAATCATGGCAAATTCACTTTCAGCGGTTCTCATTTAGCATATTTTGTTAGTTGAAATTTTAAATATTATATAGGTGGAGTGTAGGGTAGAATCGGTGGCGTAGCCAGGGGGAGGCTGAGGGGGCTGCAGCAACCCCCGAAATGTTAATAAAATTTAAAAATTATTTTAATGGTCTATGGTATTCGATCAAAAACTAAACCACCGCTGTGTAAAAAATTGAAGAGCCCCACCCCCCCCCCGAAAAAAAATCCTGGCTACGCCACTGGGTAGAATACTAGAATGTATAGTTATTATTCATTATTTAACTTAAGGGAAACAACATATTATTCTTTTGTTAGGTGGAAGACAATAGTATTTTTTTTTTTTTTGATACTTTAATTTTGAAGAGTGCATTTTTAAATTGTATTGTTTTACACAATTCCAAGTTATAACTTACTATAAGTTATATTCACATTCAGAACACCTATTGATCGTATGTACCCAGGGGTGAGAAATAGCGAAGAAAATTGGAGAAATTTTTTAATTTCTCTTAAAATCTCAAAATTATAACCCCCCCCCCCCCTAGTCAATAAAGGAGGGAATAAACATTTTTATAATCTTCAATTGAACTATAAATTGTATGCTTCTACTGCAGATATTATGTTATTTATTTTCTTATAGAAAAAAAATATAAAATAAATGTCATGTAGGTATTAATAACATACATCATACCTATTTATTTATTATTATACAAAGAGGATTTACACGCATACTAAAAAGTAAAAAGAAGCCAAATATGCATACAAATAAAAGTATGCATTCCTAAATAGAAAAAAACTCATTTTTTTACGAATCAAAATTATAACATTTATATTTAATTAAAAAACAATATCAATAGTCTAATAATCAAATCAATATTTGATTATCTCAGTATGTACCAAAAGCAAAATACTATGGAACCGGGAACCGGGATATCCGGATATACATATTTGGTCATTCGCCAGGCTTTATTGTAACTTTGTAAGGATTTATTCCATTCCCATAAATGTAATTTTCGTTATATTATTTTTTGTAAGCTTCACTCCCTCTTCCAACAAAAAAAAAAAATACGTCAAGAGTTTTTAAAATGTATGGTGGGTCAAAGACAGTTGGCGGCGATCGCCGTTAATCATACAACCTGAATCGATAACACTTGTAATCTGTAAGTGTATGTCTTGTACAATTTAAAGCCATGTACAATTATTTCAATAATAATCCATAAATAAAATCAAAATTTCAATTGTAATATTTTTTTTTTTTGTTAACATAAATTTTTTTTTGAAATTCTATGGTAATTAATTAATTAATTCAATTTGCACTAAAATGAAATATGCAGTAACAATTGTAAAATTATTTCTTTTAACTTAACGACATTATGTCAAATTCGGTAAAAGTATGCCCTAAAAAAATCTCATATTTTCAATCTGTATGTGTCATGAAATAAATGTTGTGCTTACTTAGCTAATCATCAAAGGCGTGCACAAGTGGTGGACGAGGGTGTCCCTTTGGCTTATTTTTGTTATATACAATTTTTGATAAAATAATGAAAGTATTTTTACCGATGTAGTACCGTGATCCGGGGAGCGATGACCGATAATATAGTCAAAAATTCACATCTCCTCCTTTCAAAAAAAGATGAGCAGTGAGCACGGCACTGATATTTAACAATTAGGTAGCATAATATCATACAATCAACCAGAATAACTATGAAATTGCACACTAATCATCTTTTTAATAAGCATGAATTGTGAATTGTGAATAATATAATAATAATTAATGCTTAAAAAAAAAATATTGAATAGTTAATTTAGTTAAACATTCTTAATACATTTGGTAAATAATAGTTTTATCGGTGATTACAGATTACCTATTGATGAAATGTACTTACACACTTTACGAGCATGATGGAGTACTTAAGGATTATTGAATGTCTGAATGTTACTACAAATTTATAATTATATACTTAGGTAATGGCCAATAAGTAGGTATATTATATTATTATTATTTCGGGAACGCAATAACAGCCATAATTTAATTATTATTTCGTACCAAAACATTTGTAGGAATAAGGAATGACCAGCTCCATGATAAAACTTTAACTAGGTAACTATAAAAGATAAAATGACTCATACCTCTATTCATGAATTATGAATAGACGAATAGTTATATTACCTACCTAGTGATAAGTACCAGTTAAACATGAATATCTTAAATAAATAATAATAGTATAGTAAAGTAAATAATAATATTCATATACCTACCCATATACAATTGTATATTTGTATGACATTTTTATTCATCCGAGTTGAAATTTTTATGAAATTATTTTGTCTTTTGTCCCGTCTTTTGTCTTTATTTCTATTTTTGTAAATTTATTCAGATAAATGCTCGTAGAAGTGAGGAAATAATTCTCTACCTTCAACACAAGCGTTGGCAACACTCAAACCAAGTGTTTATCGTAAAAGTACTTGTATTTAATATTTATGAGGTATATCAGAAAAAAAAAATGATACCATGGTCTAATCACTCCAGTCCACCGAGTCGGAATGAACGAAATCGGTTTATGATTAATGATTATGAATCGTTCTAAACAACGGTGGTTGTGAGATAGCGGCTCGTCTCCAGCCAGCCGGACGCCGGGCTTTGATCTACACCCACGGTTAACTGCATTGTCCACGCGGGCCCGTGCTCAGTGGCCACCTGCCATTGGTCGTTCGGCGTTCACTGGACACCAGGTGTCTCGATCACTGTGGCCATTGCTTTGCCACCATGCACTCGCGGCTGACCGCAATGCCGCAGTCAGTAGTCGCTGGCGCGTCGTCGTCGGTGGTTTTGTGTTTGGGTTCGGGTCCGGAACAATATAGGTTATCGATTTGGCATTCGCCCGCGCTCACTCTTAATAGTCTAATGCCCGCCGCCGCCTGTTAACGTTCGTAGTTATTATCAACATCATTTCTATCGTATTTTTTTTTATAATTTTTTTCGTGGATCGTGATCTCGTATAACAGGTAGGTACTACCTACTTACTACCTACTACCTACTTATAATATTGTCTTACGGTTACGTATAAATTATTATAATTATTATTTATTCACCATCGTGCCAGTACCTATTTTTTTGTACAACTGTTTACCTTGAGTACGGGTGAGTACGTAAATACCGTTATTTTTTCATCAAGTTTGAAGTTTTTCCACTACCTACACACGAATTGTACTTGCCTACCCGCCCATTGTTGATTTTCGCAAAACGTGAGTATGCGAGATATCTGTTGAGCCAAATCTAATACTTGAAGCTTACTGCAAACTCACAATATTATAATTAATTTTGTGTTTAGTGTCTCGTAATTATGTGGTCGAAAATATTTAAAGCCAGCAATCATGGACTTGTCCGCGGCGTGGCCATATATTCGGTCACTTGGCCGGTGAGCAGCTTAATACAGCAGGCTCTAGAGCCGTCCGGCAACAAAAATATTGATTTACAGCGAGCGGCAAAGTTTAGCATGTATGGTGGACTCTATGTGGCACCCACTTTGTATGCGTGGATGAGATTTGCCAGTTATGTTTGGCCTTCGATGACAATTACTAGTCATATAACTAAGGTCAGCATAATCTTCATTTAATAGTTATTAATAATAACAGTTAATAAAAATAATAGATAAGATTAGCTTGCAGTAACATAATTGTTTTAACTGTAACTCCATTTAAATATTACCTATGTTAAAATTTAACTTTGTATTTTCATAAGAAAAAAAAATGTAACAAATATCAATAACAAAATTTAAAAAATGTTACTATACAATTACTTAATAGTTAAGTTTCAAAGTCCCTGTTGCTGCTTATTAAAAAAAATTAATTAGTTTGAGGTATATCTATAAGTCTTATTTTAAATTATAAATTATTAAATACCTAACCATTACTCATTTTAATTATGTATAATTTCAATAAATTAAAGGTAATTAAGTTACTTAATTATATAATTTAACTAACAATTTTACTTCTAAATAGGCAGGTATCCAATAATTGTATATAATAGTGGTTTACTAAAATGTATTTATTACCAAGGATTTAAAAAAAAATTAGTTTAGATTAATTTAGGGTATAATATACATTCTTAGTGCACTTACGTAGATCCTATGAAATTATTATTAAACAATAAATATAAGTAAAATTATATTTTAAATTTAAGCGTGTGAAGTATAAGTTGATAATATAAATAACTACTATATTACTACGCACAAGAATTATTCATGTCTTAAATTCTGATTATAAAGTATAAAATTATCATATTGTGCAATTTAAGTTCATAAATCTAAAAACTAAATGAATATCTAGATGAAAATTATTATCTACTAAAATATTTCTGCAAACAGTGATAATACATTTTATAATTTTTCATTATACTTGTAAAATTCTAAGGTGGTATTTATAATATACTTTATTCATGGCATAACTTCATACTAATATAATATGTTTACATGTGGTGATTATCGATGTAATTGTATAATAGACAATTCAATTTTTGGGTTGTAAACTAGATTTCAAGTATTATTTTAACAATATTGTAGGTACTTATAGTTTTATTATATTTTGCCATTATTTTAAATGGTCCAATATAATAATAAATACAATCAATAATCATATGTTTTTTACTACGAGGGAAAAAAATGATTGAATTGGTTTGATTATTGGTAGGTTTTAGGTACTATAAAAGTTTTCTTTCTAAAACATTGACACTAGTTAGAAATTATCAAAAATATTTTGTTTATGTAGGTAGGTACTACAACACTAGAATAATACACTTATGTAAGTACTATTTTTTTTTTTATAAACTTATTAATTACATCATATCATGGTATAATAATATGGTAATTAATACTTTTAAAAAAATGTGTTCAAGAGAAGCCTTAAACAATTTTTTTCTATATAATGAACCACCCGGATAGGATTACTTCAATATAACAGGAAAAATCATTAATAGGTGACCTATGATATTTTATCATTACAAGAAGAATAAATGACAAATAAGATTAAATTCCATAAAAATGTTATCTTCATTTTTGGTCATTGTGAAGTAATAATATTTGAATTTCTATCAGAAAATTAAAAAAGCCAGCCTTATATATTATTAAACATACTGATATTATTTTATACGTCTAATCAGATGGCAGTTTTAGATAAATTATAATACATATTCTGTTTGTCAGGCATCAATAACTAGTTTATTGATTAGTTGTCAATCACTCAATTTGTTAAAATATAAAATTGAATAAAAAACGCTTGATTGAGCAATTATTTTGTTCAGTTTTAGAAAATGAATAATTTAATTTGTCTTATTCTCTTAACAAATTAATAACTGAATGATGTAAATGTTTGAGCTTAATTTATTATAAATTATTTCAAATTAGGAATAAATTTAATTTGTTATGAAGGTTACTATAAGTATAACTCTTTTTATGTATGTATGTAGTATGTTATTTTTATTATAATTTAATTGTTATTTTTAATTTTGCAGGCAGTCGTTGAACAATTTTCATATGGTCCATTTGCAATGGCTAGTTTTTTTTTCTTCATGACACTTTTGGATGGAGGTACAATAGAAGATGCAAAAATGGAAGTTAGAGAAAAATTTGTTTCTACCTGGAAGGTATAAAATTCCTTATATTTTTTTTTTATATATTCAAATACATATTAAGAGGACGTAAAAGCCACGTAATATGTTATTCCTATCTAACAAACATACTTATTATTAAATTTAAAGATAACAATAATATCTATGGCATCTCATAGGCTTTTATTGTTATTTAAATTTGAAACCAAGTTATGAGCGTTTTAAAATTGTAATATTTTACATAGCTATAACATTTTAAGGTTAAAACATTAATTAAAGCCTTTAGGTAAAATATTCTTACCTTTAACCTTGATAATTCAATCTAATATTAATCTAATAATGCAAAATTAATGCTGCTTATCCTAAGTTTGTTATATTGTATGTTTGTAAGATACAGTCAATACATGTGAGTTTGGCATCTTCTAGTTATAAATTCTTGGAAATAGTCTGGGCATATTTCATTTAGTATCTCTGTTTTCACTCTTTTCTTCATAATAGTTATTCACTAATGGCAGCTTAAAGGTTTTATTAAGAAATATTTTGAACATATTATAAATTATTATAGTAAGAGTTTGTGTATACACATTATTAATTATTAATGTCATTAACTAGTATTATAATAGTTACATTTTTAAATAGGCACAAAATAATTTATATGCTGAATAATATAATTTAATTGACATTTTTTTTCTTATTTAGATAGCTGTAATGGTTTGGCCGGTATTACAGACAATAAATTATTGTGTTATTCCTACACAAAATCGCTTGATATTTGTAAGTTTCGCTGGATTGATATGGACTACATTTTTAGCCTATAAAAAGTATGAAAAGAATAAATCTATACAATCAGCTGATAAAACAACTGATTGATAGTTAACGTTTTACATTTATTTGACTGTTATATAATTAGTTTTTTGACATTCTTTGTTATTATTGATTGTTATTGTTATTAGCTCTTTAAACTATTGTTGCCAAATATTGTATCTACTTAAATATAATTTATGTCTGAACTTTGATCAGTGGTGCATTTACAGGGTAGAGGGGATATCATCCACCCCTAAAAATCAAAAATACCTTATATTTAAATATTTTTAAATGTTTGATAATAATTTCAGTCAACATAATCCATTTTATAATAAGTAATTTCTTCACCTCAAATCTACCTGCCAAAAAAATTGTAAATACACCATTTGAATAACATAGTGTTACAACTTGTGAAATTTGTATTTTGAAAAGTTGCAATACATTTAAAATGTTGGTAAATTCCTATTTTTGTTATTTGACAACACTAGTCAAAAGAATTGTTATTTAGTTAAATAATTTATATAAATTCAATTATTTATTGAATGTTATATTATGAAGTCCGATCGTGCGTTTTCAGTTTGATATTAATGGACCGGCATTTTAAATCTTGAAATGTTCATAATCGATCTTATATTAAAAATATTCATAATTGTTTTTATGTTACCATTATTGTACTGATTGAAATGTAGGTAAAAAGTGAAACTTTTGTTAATTTGAATTTTACATATTGTATTAATTATTTTTATGTATTATGTATTATTTATAATTGTTTATGTTTTCTAATTAATACTTTCATGGTCAGTACATCTGATTTACCCAAATTATTTTACCATTCCATTATATATAAAATGTTCTCAATAATAACAGATACATAAATAAAAATATTATTATAATTTATTTTTATTTTGATGATATAAAATCTATATTTAATAGAAATAGGGATATAGCCTGTGATCAGGCCTTGTCAAAAAAAAAGTTGATTAAAAATGTACAATGGTTAATCAATTAGTTTTGAAGTATTTAGGGTTGTTGACCTCTCAACAGAGGTTGTAAATATATATTTTTGCATTATGTTAAATGTGCATGGCTGGAAGTAAGTCACTTTTTTGAAATTGAGTCACTTTAGTCACTTAATAAGAAATTAAGTCTATACATATTGGAAAGAATGTTAAGGGTTTAAGATTTATGAGATTGTAGATTGCAGTGTTAAAAAAAATAAAGTGTGTGCCAAATGAATATTTTTTTTTTAATTCTTAAAATGGAATTTGCTTCCGGGCGTCCATGCTCCCCTTCCCATTTTATTTTCTATAGTTAAATTCTATTTGATTTTATTTTTATAAACATTTTTGTAATATTTGAGTTAACATTGTTTACCGCAATGTGAGTTATGGGACCTATGGGTCTCTTCGATTCTCGCCCAATATACAGCTGTATGATTAAACACATCAGCAGTGGTAGCGTCTTTTTTTTCCTATAAAGCAACTACTACCTTAAATAAGTTCCTACCCACACACCAATTTTTTTCTTCACATTTTACACTTATTTTTTCACACATTTTAAACTTAGATCATATTATGTTACTATACTCGAATATAAATTATAACCTATAAGTCTAGCCGTCTGGCTCTTGGGGACTAGAGTCATTGGGGTACCCAGCACCCTCTCCCACTTTTTCACGAGGCAGCTGCCTCATAAAACAGCCATTCAAGCCGCCACTGATATTATCAGGCATAAATTAATAAAATTTCATGCAAAATTATAAATGACTACGTTAAAAAAAGTTGAAGTAGTGAACTTGATTTTCAAAGAAGAATCTCTTATTGACCAATATATCTTAACCATTTATTGCAGCGGCTCTTGCATTCTTCAATGAACAAGGGATGCAATCGGGGCACTTACATCTTCACTACTTTCATCATATTTTCTTTGCTTTAGTCAATTCAAATATATTAAACATACGGGAAATACACTTATGGCCTGGCATTAATGCATTACCAATACAACCTTAATCTTAGAAATGCAAAATTAAGCAATAAATAATTAATTCAAAATAATCTAGGGGTGAGTTGACACGACTCAGTAGTATACACCGCTGCGGATGCTATGCTGGTAGTATAAAATAAAAATAATATATTAACATTGCAAAACCCACAAATCATAAATTTGAGAACAATTTCCCCGTATTAAACAAAAACTACAGACAATTTCTTATGATGTAAAAATACAAAAAGAGAACGACATAAGAATACAAATAAATTCAACTTTACCTAAACACGCATAAAAAAAAAAAATTAGTATATTCTAAATCAAAGTAGCATGAAACAAATTTTCAAACAAAATAGAATTTTAAAGGATCAAAGTATAGAAAAATGCAAAAGTCATCAACATCCTATTCCTTATAATGAGCAATGATTTATCTGCAGGGGAGACCGCGGGCTACAGTGAGATATATTTGCGACAGTGTCATAATGAGCGGTCTTCCCCATAAAAAAAAAAAAATAGTTCAATCAAATCATTAAAGCGAACTTTGTAAAATATTAATTAATGAAAAAGCATATCACTTAAATTGTTATTTTGAATGGAACAAAACTATGAACTATGTACCATATCGTGGTATTGTTCCATGTCTCGCCGTCAGTGTTGAGTTTATCTGGATAATTATTTTTCATCTATTATCTTATCTAGACAATTAGAGAATATTAATTTACAAACTTATCCAGCATAAAAATCACCATTATCTAGATAAATTCATCCAGATAATTACATTTATTCAGCGGGTTTTATTTATTACGAGCTCTCGGAGCGTCGCCGGGGGAGCCACCTGCGTTGAGAGTTGTTCACAGAAATCGTATTCGACATACATAATATATACGTGTATAGAAGGTCCGTCGCCCGCGTCATTTCTTGACGCGATTACGAAGCGTACGAACGGACGAAAACCGCTTAAGTGCTTCTTTCAAAAGAAGTTTACTACGCGATTCGGACACAATCGGTGCACGAAAAGACGAAACCGATCGAGAAAAAACAAAAAAAGCGAGAAATACGGGCGGGCGGCGCCGTTTTCGATCGAGATTGCGGCCGCTACGGACTCAAAACGGACGAAACCCGAACACGCACGGACTTAACACATCTAGAGGAACGCGAATAAAATACGAACATTCAAAAATGAAAAAATTGGAAAATGTCGACACATTTAAAAAAAAAAAAAATACAAAAATTAATACGAACAACGAGAAAGAGATGATAGCATATTGGGGATCATTCCGTTATGATGTGTTTGATAGTGAGAGACTGAGAGAGGTGTGCGACAATCTGGCACGTACATAGGTGGTTCTTCCCTATTTATATTATTATTTTGATTGTGTACACGATATCGGTTACATGTATCATGCGTTCGTAACTATACACCGTTCGTCGAAAGAATGTACTTACTTTGAGCCAGTGGCGTAGCCACTAGCCAGGTTTTTTTTTTTCGGGAGGGGCTGATCAATTTTTTACACAGCGCGGGCTTAGTTTTTGATCGAATACCATAGACCATTGAAATAATTTTTAAATTTTATTAACATTTCGGGGGGGGGGGCTGCAGCCCCCTCAACCTCCCTCCTGGTTAACGCCACTGCTTTGAGCGTACGACGGGAGCCGAGGAGTATGGATTTCGATCGTTGCGGTTCGGATGGGTATGGCGTGTCTTGGATTGTGTGCAACCACTTTCTCTCGGCAAACGGAGAATACCTGTTATGATGAGTTAAAATATGATCATGGACAATATTAATTAACACTGCAGTAATGTATCTATTTTGCCTATACAATACGCCCGACCTCACATAATGTTTGTGGTGTACCTATATGTAATACGATTTATTTACGTTATAATCATCATCAGTAGTGTTAAAGAAGATTTTTAGCGTAGCCTATCATTTAGATGTTGGCACACATTACGTAATATTTACAAATATATGTTTCTTAATTTTTTTAAGATTATTACATACACTTCAATACAAATTTGCTGTTACCACGAGCTCACTGTTACATTCAAAATTAATGTAAGAACTAAAAACGTCTAGGGGTCCCCACATGTAAATGAATTTTAAAAAGCAGAAAAACCAAATTATTATAAGTGTATATATTATAGTGTATTAGGAGTCGAGAACTTCGGTATATTTCGGATAACGAACAAAATGTGTAAAAAAATGCAATTAATGTAGAATTACTAAGGGGCTGTGCCCAGTGTTCTTCAATTTCAAACATAATATACCTATCATTGGGGTTCTGCGCCGACATATTATTTCACTAAAAAATGATATCAACAACATAAAATCACTTTCAGAAAATATCCAAAACATACGAAATAGATTAATTTGTCATTGGCGTTTACTGCAGAGGTGTTGGCGGAGTGTTTGTCGGTAGTCCGGTGCAGTGAGGTTTGCGGTTGTGGGGGGGGGGGGGGCATTTGATGTACAATATAAACGCTTCATGTATAACAGGTTTTATAGTGATGTATATGTTTACTTTGAAAGTGAATAATAATAGTGATAAGTACCTGATAACAATGTACTATAGTGGGTTATTTGGTATGATATAGGTAAGCAAAAGGTATTTATTTCAACCAAGACATGACTTCTATATGTATTTTATTTAATTGTCCAGTGAAACAGTTTTTTTTTCGTTTTGACATATTATACTATGAATAATACCAACGTACATTTACAGTTTAAATATGTACCATAATAAAATTGGTTAAGTTATAACAAATTGAAGATATTTAAATACAAAATTAACAACAAACTTCGAATTCGTCTATATAATAATTAATATAATATAATTATATTTAGTTTTTGAATTATATGAAAAATAACAATTATTTAAGTGAATAGTTAACAAGTGAATGTACAAATGCAATTATATATATATACATGTTCTTAATTTCAGTGACCATCATTATATGACATGGCTTTGACATTTATCTCATATAAATTATAAGACTTTAAAAGATTAGTCTAATGATTATAGATCTTATGAGATTTTAAAATTAAATGTTAATAATTAATAATATATTGTATAGGCGTATATTGTATATTAAACTATACAATTTTATTTTGTATATTGTATTTGCTATTATAGGTAAGTACTTTAACGTTTTTTTCATACATTAACTTAATTTTTATAGAGTTAGCATTTTCAACAATAGATAGTATCTATAATAATTAAAAAAAACATTTTGAATTTAAATGTATTCAATATAATGTATATTATCTATCATCTAACAATGCGGAGATGGTGTAAACTATTTTATATGGAAAAATAATTTAAATGTTAACCAATTATATGATGAACTCATTGAATTAAAAAAAAATAATAAAATCAACTATCAATGTACACAATACAGTTCCTGTACACTCTAAAGACAAAATTATTGACTTGATACTTATATATATTATATATAACAATAGCTATAATATAATACGGTTATTGGTTGTACTTGACATAATAATTCACTACGAAAATATAATTCGCTGCTGTGTGATAAATGATGATTCGTATCTACAACAACATTACAACAATTTACTTACCTACCTACGTATATTATTTAAAACATTATAACAAAACATTAACGATATGTTCAATATCGATGTACAATATATTATGTACACTACACAACCTATAGTCTGTCATTATAATATTATGTATAGAATAATAGATTAAAAAAATATATACTTATTTATAATAATATTATTACACTTATATAACACAGTTTTTGTCCACGAGTAAGGTACACAGTATCACTAAAACCTGGAAGCACTCCGGATTAAACATTTTACTCGGAATTAACAACTTCAAAAAAAAAAAAAACGACTATAATTACAAATATTGCCCTTGGGCGCATATATAACGCAATATTAAAAAAACATTATGGGCGCCTACATAATTATAAACACATAATACATATTATTACTATTATTATTATCATTGTTATTGTATTGCGTACGAGTACATAATTCTATTTTCTCTATGTTTTATAATATTTATTACTATACACATTGCGCTGCGATTTTATGGAGAGCGTTTTAATACTAAAACCATATAAATAAACTGAGAGTACAAAAATGAAATATTTGATTCGTCGACCGAAGTTCGTCTCGCCGTCCTACTTTCAATCGACGCGACAATGCGTCTTATGCTCTCTTATTCAAACGAAAATGATTTCCTCGGCGTCTGCGTTCATAACCCCCCTCCCCCACCCATTATGGCTTGAAAAAAACTGTAAAGGCTTTCCTTTTAAGGACAAAATCGCTCCGACGAGCATGACTGAACAAAAAGCTCCTTTACGCACAACTCGCCAAAGCGTATTACACAAAAACACTTACCTAAGCGTAGTATACACACACACACACACACACACACGCATATATATATATGTATTATATATATTACGTAAAATACATAAATCAATCATACATTTAAATATTATGTAGGTGAGTTCTAATTTACATACTAATCGTCGTGGAGTGTTAAGTATGTACTTATAAACCACGTTGACGATCTAGCCCACAATATCTAGTATATTTTGGTGGGTATAATACAATAAAATATAACACGAAATCATTAATTTTTACCCTGATTTTTAACTATAGGTACCCCACCTACAAATGAACATTTAGTCGTTATCGGAAAAGTCAAAAGTCCGATTACAATGATATACACACAAAATATTATAAACGATTATGAATTAAATTATTAACAGAATGCGTGCGCACCGTTTCATCTCCAAAAAACATACAACATAGCAATATTTATTTCGAGCTCATTCAAACCAATCTGTGCTGTGTAATATTGTGAGCTTCGATATCTGAGCGAACGATTAAATTTAAAGTCAGAAACATTATCCGTATCTGCTTGTCAGATTTTTACGATATTTCAATCTTTATGCAAGTGCTGTGAGTAGGGATAGGTAAAAATATTAAAATTTAAAAATGCCCATATTATACCGTAGAGAACAATTGAAAATATCACGAAAATGCCAACGTACAAACACAGATAGTCTTCCTCAACTTAAAATTTAACTGCAAAAGGTCAATTCACTCTAATGATAGAATTATAAGAAAACACCAATATGGTTATGCTGCCCGAAATTGTCTGTGTTTCACTTGGGTGTCAGAGAGTCAGAAAACAGAATTGCGCTGACGCCCTCTTAAATATTAAATACCTAATGTGAGTGTGTATATTAGAATATTCGGTTGTTATTGCTAAACATCGTAACTGTACGTCATCATGTACTTTCGTCTACTGAACTGTTTAAGTAATCTTAAACCGTTCTTTCAACTCGATATTAAAAAATAAATAAATAAATAAATAAAAACAAGAATGAGCTCTTAGCAACTAGTTGAACTATTTCTAATCGCTTATCAAAATACGTTGCTTGGATAAAATATTACTTGACTATAATGCAGAAGATTACATAATTATATAAAAATAGTATACCTATATCACATGAAACAGAAAGCCGGATTTAGTTTTTGCTAGCTGCACCGAATCGTTTCAATCTTTTTGATCTTTTGTAAACCCTCAATACTTGTAAGTTATACCTATCGGCTATCGTGCACAACGACTTCAGTTGGTCGTTTGGTCAATACCGCGGAATGTCCCAAAAGAGAAAAAACCATGACTACATAATATGCTTACGGTCGCCGGTCTATTTATTCCAGATCGATTTCCCATTATATATTTAGTGTCCTCTTTATATTAAATTGTATCAAACATTTTATTCGTCTTTCCTAATTCGCTTGTTGGAGTTAGCGCACATGGCACATATGTAATATGTATTAAAGTAGTATAAATATACATAATATACTGATCACTGACCTGCCCTAACTTTCTATTTATCGTAATCGCCTTTAAAGTATAATGCACAAACGATAGTTTTTAGAAATCCATTAGTGTGAATTACGAAAACAAAACAAATCTTAATAAACTCACCAAGCACCCGGCTTGGGTTCGTCGGAGCGTTTGAAAAATATTGAGTAAATACCTGTATACATAGAATATAATAATATGTAACATTAAATGAATAATTTATATTATTAATAAATTTTGCTTTTGCCCGTAATAATAATACAACTTTTGCTTTGACGTCCTTAAAAACTATTTAACAACAAAGTTATTTAAATACTTTTATACCTCGCAAAAGTATACACAACATCTTGAAAGATATGAACGTATTTTCATGCGATGGCTTTGTAGTATTTAACAAAACAATAATCATAACAAATTCTATCCAAAACAACAGAGAACTGAGAAAAGGCAAATGGATTTCAACGACAAGGAATTCGTTGACTATAGTTATAGTTAAAAGTTATAATCTGGCGCAAGTATTATACATATAATAATATTGTATAATACCTAAGCAGTTCCAAAGACATAAATATGGAATATTTTATGTATTTCAAGGATTGTCCTGCCGCGGTACAAACTGTATTTTTTTCAAATGAGGAGGACCTTTTTAATGCTACGTTTTTAAGAACATGATGTATTATTTTCCTTATTCTTGATTACATAGAGTTTAACAACTCAGAGACTACTAGTTTGAATTTCGATTTAGATTCGTAAACATTTTTAAAAAATTCTTCCGACTGGCAATTTACAAAATAAAAAGGTGGTTCTCGTTCGACAAAAAAATTATTCGTACCGTCACGAAATAGGTACTTTCTTCCTATATATCTAACCGAAATCTAATTATGATCTTTATGCGTAAGGTAGGAATCCTACTTATCCTACTAAATGCTATTTATAAAAAATTACCAATATCAAAATTCTGAGCAACTGCATTAGTAAAGGATAAAAAGTAAGGGGTTGATCGTGTTTTGTGGACCACCCTGTATACATCATGATTGTACCTAATAACAATTATACGTGACCCCATGTGGTAGGCTACTCCTACACTATACATGTGCTCGGAAAATAATAGTTGGTATCCGTGTACTATTTACTAATTAATTTAAAATGCCAGGGGGGGGAACTAATGTGGAGATTCAATTACACCGCCATTTCATAAATTAGTAAATCTTCGCAATATGCTCTACAGCTGGTAGTTATATAGATGCTCTTCTGCGCGAACTGTTCAAACGTTTTCAATTAAGAACTCTTTGCGGCTAGGTCCGAATGAAACACGAAATAATGTGTATGTTATATATAGAGGTAGGCTGAGAAGGCTACATACATATATATGTGGAGACTGTGGAGTATGTTTAATGGAAAAAGCGTTAAAGCCTGTTTCTTTGACTTATTCATATACCTAACTAATATAACTAGGTATATACTTATATAGGTGACTATTTTTTTAATCAAAAAACTGTCATTTATTTGGTAAACGTGAGTGTTTTTGAAAACATAATTTTAGATTAATAATTTGAAGTCCTCACAACACAACGTTTGTATAATCGTAATCATTTTTTTTTTTAATTTGTAAATATTACCATTTACATTTTAACTTCATACTCCGAAGCAGACTGTGCTCATACATATATGAATCGAACTTCAAACATTGAATCAAACTTAAAATAATTATATAAGGGTACCTATTTAAAGTTTAGACAAGCGGCAAAGTGCACCTACATTTTGCAGGGTATCTACCCCACTCCGCACATCTGAAAATAAAATGTTATTAATTATTATACTTCTAATCGACTATTGGTTCGAAATTCGTTTTTTATACACCGAAATCATTGGAAAATATTTCGGTTGAGTGATGTTTAAAATGTAGTTTGTAGTTTAAAATATTATAATATATAACCGGAAGAAAAAGTTAAAACAAAATATTCTCCGAGAAAATAACTGTTAAGTGATGAAAAAAATCACTTAGCGTATAATAATGTGCGTCATTACTATTGCTCTAAGATTATGCTTAGGTATAAAGTTCCGTTGGTGTATACACCGTGAATATGGTAAAACGAACGGAAGTTGTACCGTCATAGGTATAATGTATTATTATTAAACGTATCCGGCATGTGCGTATCATGAATATTAGCTTATATTCTCGCACGTCCGTGAGTTCGTTATATAATATGTTTCTGTAATAATATTGGACTTTCAGACGAAAGTGCGAAACAAATCTGCCGCCGGATAAAGATTTACACCCTCACCCCGAACCTTCTTAACCGCCAGCCGAAGAGAGCGCGCGGTGTACGTAATAACAACGATATTGCACGGTTCGGATATTTTGTTTTTACAAGTCAGAAAATTACGACCGAAATTTGGCGACCGTCGAACGGTGGCGGTGTCTGTGGCGTAAAAAGAATTAACTAGGTCGGGTCAGATAATATATGTTTGGACCGAGCAATAACGTCGATTTCACGCCCCGCTGGTCAGGGCTGATATTATTGGCTTTGGGTGGGGTGGGACGGGTGCAGCATGAGGAGGCGTTGGCACTCCGTTGCCCGAATTCTGCGAACCATGTGATTTGGACGAAAAAGAAAGAGAGACGGAGAGAGAAAATAATAATAATAATAATAATAATAATAAAGAATATACGTACAACATCAGTCGCACGCCCTCAAACCAAAAGTCTTTTCCGCACGACGCGTGACATAATGTTTTTTTTTCCAAAAATATTTGATACGTCTGTGACGCATCGGTCTACGATTACGGTATTCGTTGGCGGTATAAATCACCAACTTTTCCTGCAACGAAAACGATGTACCACTGCACATCACACCATGTAAAATGTATACATGGGTATAGCAAATGGGCTGAACCCGCTCAATGGACGTTTTCGGATGAGATTTTTTCCTCCATAATCGCATAAAAAAATAAAATAAATGTCTCTCCTTAATGCCCGGTCTACATGAGACCAATATTTCAAGCTATGATAGAATGATGGTGATAGTACTTCCGGTGACTATCCTGGCTTACTATTATCCTGGCTTGGCACAAACTAGAGCGGTTTACACGATGCTAAGAATTTCAAGCCAGTCCGATGGCGGGCGAAGTGGGTGGGGTGGTGCTACTATAGCCAAAAAACAAAACTCCACCCTATTAAACCATCCTGGCTTGAGAAACAATATGCCCATATAGCTAACCAGACAGTAGATTCTCCAGTATAGGTTGCAAACTTTATAACACAGTTATAGACATAGGTACTACCTTTACATCAGTGTTTAGTGGTGACGCCGAACTGTTTAAAATTTACTATGACATCGTACATCAATTGGCCCCATCATCCCCATTTTTAAATTTAACAATTAGATGCAAATCAAAGCACCCACAGCATGTTCAATCATTTATTTTTACGTTTTAGCCGAACAAATGTTCAAATACAATTATGATTCTAAGCGAATCGATGAACGTATTGATTTAAGAGTTCCAGATGAAGGGGCCACCCACATCTAAAAAATCTACAACGACATCTGTCATAGATAAATTAGGTGATCGGCGCCACTATAATTTCAGCATCCCGCTACTCTAGCATGAAGTACTGGACACGTGTAGACCGGGCAAAACGCGACAGCAATGGTACAAGTTAGAGGAGCTACAATATTTTTATGTATAATATGAGGCGCGCTCGTAGTGATGACGATGACGATGATGACGACGACGGCGGTGATTTCTCGTTCGAGTCGATCGCCCGCCGCCGATCAGACGGTGGTGACGCGATCGTATTCGACGTAGTGCACTACGTCGTTGACCTTATGTCAGTAAACCACGTCGCGCGCCGACACGACCGCCTCCGTCTCCGCGGACTTGGCGGACGGGCTCCGGCATCCGGCCGCCGCGGACGACGCCGACCGGAACCGCCGGAACCACAGGACCGTGAGCCCCGACGACACGGCCACGATGATGATGGCCACGGTCAGCGCGATGCTGTACACCAGGTGCGTATAGAGCAGGTGCATGCAGTATCCGAACGACTCGTCGTAACCGGACGGACAGTGTTCCACGCCGTCGCACCACAGCGACTCGTTGATGCACGCATCTAGTTCCGGGCACTGGCTGTGGCAGTAGGGTCCGTCTGCTCGAATCCTATTTTCGTTTCCGGAAAAAAAAAACACACAAAACGGTTGTAACGGCGACATACGGTAGATACCAATTCAACCCATCACGAAGATTTATGACGACCAAGGGGTTGCGATGGAGTTAAATTTATTTTGCATATTACACAGATTATAGGTACGAATCTCATTTTATCCCCTTTGATTATATGTAGGTGAGGAAGTAGGGAATACGCGAGATGCAGGTAATTGTATGTGCGCTATATACACTTTATATCTGTTTATTATAATATGAAATAATTGTTATTTGTAATACGTGGCTCTGATCCCCACATGGAAGGGGGGGAAGTCAAGATCACCTTCAGTCCACGCAAGCACATGGAAAAAATAAGAGGGTCCATGTTTTATTATAAACACGCCTGTGTTAGTGTCTTTGTCTTACGTAGGATTTATTTGGTGTTGTAATTTTGACGTATGTCATTGCATTTAAAAAAAACCAAAACGATTTTAAAATGTCAATAACTTGCTCTCAAAATTAAAACATCTAATAAAGCCTGCAAAGAAGTTAAGCACTTAACGTAGACCCCTATAGTTTATATTTGTAATAATTTTATTTGCGATTTCTATTACTGTTTTGTCGAAGTCAGTCGTGTTTACAGCGGCGATCGCGTCGTCAGTTAAACACAGTGTTTCAGATCTCGTTGTTGTATTTTATTTTATGGTAAAAATAAAACTGCATTTTTAAGAGAAAAAAATTGTCACTCTGTGCTTTTTCGTATATATATGTAGTAAATAGTAAATACGATACGAATAGTATAAGGGTTAAAGGTATATACTGCAGACTTTGTTATATCCATAATGTACGAGTCAATTGTACTGCACAACTAGTAGATTTCTTTTTTTACGTTTTTGAGGTCGACTAAGTCTCTCTAAACCCCATACTGTATATTATTGTGGACCCAATATAAAATATATTTTGCACTTTTGTCGAAATCGATACAGTGCGCTGAGCGTAAAATTACAGATAAAGAGAAAATACGAGACGTGTATACTTCCGTTTACACGGTAACCATATTTAGGTATACTAACTTGACCGTATATTATTTATAAGCCTCTTGGAAATTTCGTGATATTTTATAATATAATGACAAATTTGGCCCAGAATCAAATAACAATATTATAGAAACAAGCGAAATATTTTTGATTGTTTAACCGAGAATTATTTATTAGATTTATTTATTTTTTACAGACCCTCTTTATTTTATGATGCGGAAACACTGTATAACGATATATTGTGTACACCTGAGAAGTATATCGCTTGCAGGAATAATTTTTTAACGACCTAAGCAAACGAGTCCCTAGGTCCCAATTAGAGTTAGTTAGTAATTCATGAGGTATTATGCAACGTTACACAACCAGTGTGGCATATTTCACCACATCCATCGCGTAGGTTAAGTATTATTTTGTGTAAACAATTTATTTAATTTGAATTATTATCTAAACATTTAAAATATACAGAAAAATTTAACGACGAAACAATTTTAGGAAAAGAGTTATGCTTTCGAAACAGAAAATTTATTATTTTGTGAATGGCCAGCTCGTACAACCATTTGCATTAAATATATTATAAACAATTAAATAATTATAAGCAATTCAGGCACTAGTTAAAATAACATTCGTTTCACCAATACCACCTTTTGTTGGTTTTTTATGCATTAGTCCGGAAATAACGCGTAATTTATATATTAATACAATATCAATAAGTCTTTAGTTGTAATTTATTTATATTAATCTATAGTTTAATACACGGGTCTTAAGTTAGGAATCCGTATTTAGTGGCAAACACGAAATTATGTTAAGGCCTTATAGGTGTACTGTTTGACGACACCGAGGATTAAGTAAACTTAGGTAATGCGAGTAATTGGTTTTGGTTTAACTGTTTAGAGGATACAATAGAATAAACAATACCTGGACGATAGTTGTATCCAAGACACTGTGTACGAGCCCGGATCGATTGGAATGAACTCGATGACGATGTCTCGCGAAGAATTCGACATGACGTCTCTGGTGTGCCATCCATCCGAAAACACCTGCGACACGCACAGTACATATAGGCGATGATCACAAACTTTCGGTTCTCTCGGGCTTTGACGATGATAATATTATGCTATATTATTCAGAGTGTTTCATTGATGCAAAGGGTCTCGACGAATTAAAGAGCGCTGCAGTGGTCACGCACTGGAATTGATCGGATAGAACGATTTGTTGCTCGGTTAAAGTTGGTAATAATAATATATAATTGTACGTTATTAGTAGTCGTGGTCCCGTGGAAACTTTGACTTTGTACCTGCACGCGTATTTGTCGTTATGACCAAATACTGAATATACCTAATAACCGTAAAATGACATTTTCGAAGCAAGTTCAATATTCCCATCGGGAGTCATGTAAATAATTTAATAATGAAATGGGCCATTTAAGTGATGTTATTTAACTACCTAACTTAATCGTTTGTAACTATTAAATTAAAATATTACCTATTCCATGAATAAAATATGCTTTGTATCTGATGCTTGGTTTACGAACTTATACATCAAAATGTATTCGTCAAAACCCACTGCCACCCCTAGTGTTTTTTTTTATTACTATTATAATACGATGAGTATACCGTAGATTATTCTGCTATAAATATTTTATTATAATATATTAATTAGATGGCAAATAATATTATTGACGACAAACCTCGACTGTGTAGTACGGGTCCGGACAAACGACCGTGTGGACCGTGTCGCCGGCGTGTACTATGAACCGATTGTTGGTCGGGCAATGCACGTGCTGCGTGTTGTTGGGCACCGCGTGCGACGAATCCGGCATCGCCAATCCGGGCAACTTGGCGTACAGATAACTGTTGGTGTACTTTTTCTGTGTGAGTATGACGAAGTGAGATTCACACGTGGTCTGAAACGAAACGATAAAATATTATTGCAGTTGTCGTTTTGCCGCGAAAGCGACGCTGAATCTATCTGCATACAAGTCAAAACTAGAAAATTCGACAAGGGACAGAAAAATAAATAGAAACGAATATAGACTACGTATTACAAAGGTTATTAAGTGCATTATTGCAGTATTGTGCATGATTATCGGTACTTACATTGTGATGTGAGTGGAATGTGAAATGGCCGCCAGGCCCGCTCAGCAGGTTGCTCTTCACCTCGCACCGTTTCGGCACCACCTCTCTCCTGACGAACTGCACGCTGGCCTCGAAGTAGTGGAGTCGGAAGTCTTCGGTAGAGTTCATGTTGGACACGTCCCAAACCATCGAAGCCTTCGAGCCCAACGTGACGAACGTGTACGGTAACAGGGACGCGTTGGTTGAACACAAACAGTGCCTTGGCACCAGCATGGTTTTCGGGCCGTTGACCTCATCCAAAACACTCAGAGACGATCCGATGTCGCCCACGCACTGCAAAGTTCCACGGTCCTTGTTCAAACGGCTATAACAACTCCGGTCTCCCGAGCCGATTGAAAGTATTGTCACCTTAGCAACATCTCCGGGCTGTCCTTCCAGTCTGAATACGCAACTTTAAAACGACATTAAAAATTTTTTTTAAAAAATGACCTTCATCGTTCCACTATTGATGTTTTCGTATTTGCGTCGATGAAATGTTTGGAGTTTAATCAGCTTTTTATCGTTTGAAATCAATTGGATAGAACAATTAGTGATTTGAAAATTCACAATTTTTTTTACGCTTAAAATATAGGTTATTTAGACAAAAATAAAAGTGAAGAATATCAAGCGTTATTTTCTATTCTTCTAGCTTAACTCCGTTTAAAGGCAACTTACAAGGCATTTTTAACGTTATAATGGAATGCAAAATAAATATTTGCGACTTCAAGTTAAAATACATTAGCATGAACACAAACAATATGAATATACGATTACAGTTGTTCAAACAAAAACAGAGAAAATGTACATTTATTTAAGTGATGTGTTTAAAATAAAATATATTATATTAAATAATGATTTTTCCCGTTTGGTCATTTATTTTACGGTTGCGAAAACAGTCTAAATATAATACATAACATTATATCCGATAAATATTCCAAATGTTTAGGTATAAGAATGGCAACAGTAATAAAAATATCTAAAGTTGAAACTCTAACAATAAAATCTCTTGTCAGACAAACTAATAAATTTTCGAGTTTCAGATAATATTAAACGGGGATATTATTCGTATTGTTTGGACTTGGAAGATATAAGACTAACAATGATAATATGTTCTAGGTATTGTTCATGTGTATTGAATACAATTGCGTGCCTAAGTATATTATACATCTATATGTGTATGGTATAGCTGGTATGCCTGCCACATATATAATTTATAGTACGTGAATGTAATATTAAGCATTAAGTTTACCTTAAATTTTTATTGCCTCCTCTTCCGTAAAAGAATACGTTTTTCGGCGAGCGGATGGCTATTGTACTAGAAGGTGAGTGCTTGGGCCTTCGGAAAATCCTGGAGCACATACTTCCTGTTTCAGGCCATGAGCTTCCGTCCTGGTGCAGGTCGACGAATTCGTATAGAGCTTTAAACGATACCGGTCTGTGGAAAATAATGATGGCGTTAAAACGGCCGTTAGCCCCCTCTACCTCCTATAATAATGGGCGACCACTACTACCACCACTACCGTGGCTGACCGACCAAATACTTAGACCTTTTACTACAAAAGCAAAAGGTCTAAAACACTCATCAATCCGTCGATAAAAACGTAACCTGTTCACTATGTATACGTGTTGATTATACGTGGTGAATATTTATCTTATACGAAAAACGACCTACCTGAGAGCCGTGGCGTGTTGTATGTTCAACTGGACGGTGAGCGACCGGGACGTGGACAGGAAACTCTCAGATAGCGTGCATGGACGCTGTTGCCGGGTCAACAGGAAATGATCGCAAGACCGTGGGGTTTGGCCGGGACAGTAGTTGGCCAACAGAGTGCTGTTGTTTTGCTGGTACGCTGACGACGAGGCGTTTCTCGAATCACTGAACGATTATACATAAAAGAATATGTATATAGGCATTGTACAGCACGTCACAAACACTCGTTGATAATATAATACCACAATAGGGATTAAGGGCACACGTTATATGATTATTTTATTGTGTATGTACACGACTGCACCCAAACGGATACTTGAATGTGAAAGAATAAATAGTAGCATCGAAATACACCGAACAGTTCAACTCACCAGAATGGATGACAAGAAGAGTTTCCATCCCACACCATCAGGTTGGTCGTGCAGTCGCGGGTTTGGGGGCCCGTCACGTAGAACTTGAGTACGGATACCCACACCTTGTACCTAGGACCGGAGCCGGATTCACGATCCACCGGATATCCGGCAGCCGCGACACCGGCTGGGGTAGCTTGTAGATGATACCAACACGTCGTGTTTTCTGGCAAAGAGTGGTAAGGCGCATGCAACCAACCACGGCCCGTGTTCCGTATCCAAAATTCACACCGCTTGTTCTTGGTGTACTTGATCGATTCGATCTCCACAAAATGTACCTAAATAATCGAAACATTGTGTTTATTAAACACCAAAGTCCTAAACACGAAATAAAATCATACTATTTTATTTCTCCAAATTTCAGTGTGTTTTATCATTTTTAAATTAATACTTGGGTGTATGTTAAAAATAATAATATTATATCATTTGTCGGATGTGTTTATAAAAAACTGTATTTTAAATGCCTGCGTCATACAACATTTGACAAACATTTCGTTTTTCTTAGAATTCAGTTTAAAATAATTAATTTTTAAAATATTCTTTATTTTCTTCGGTTTTTATAACTTCTTTATTTTGTAAGTATAGCCGCATAGGTACTTGTTTAATAAAGGTTATTCTATATTTCTATTCACTTGCTTACTTTGTTAAAATATGTAATAATTTTGAATAGAATACTGTTTGATACAAGTAAATAAATGTTCGCCTATATTCATACCTATTCTAGATATTGTATTATATTAGATATTAAAAATATATTTCCATTTGTAATATACTTGAAATACGAATCCATAGCATTGTTCCGTTGATTAACATTTCATTGTTTACTAGATACATAATAAAATAATTAATAACCAATAATGGTCATGTTTCATATGATATTGAAATGTTCCAACTGTACCTACCTATCGTAAAATTAATTAACTTTATTGTTTGAAACCGATTGTTGGTCATCTCGTTTTAATACACGAGTGCTACCCATCATGCATTTATTTTCAAATGGCTAACTCTCTTTAGAACCATAGTGAATTTAATTTTTTAAATGTAGGTACTTTGGTCATTTTTTATATCTCAGAAAATATTACTAAAGAGTTTTTGAAATATTTTCATAGATTATTTTAATACTTTATTCTTTTATCATTTAATGTAAAATAATAATATAATATATATATTTGTATATTATTTAATATATATTTTAACTTCGACGGTAGCTTAATATCGTTTTCAAAAGATTATGGTATTTTTGGGCTATATAACATTACGTAGGATTCGTAAACTTTGACATGCCCGAGCGTATGGCAGTATTATAGTTTAATAATATTGTGTGAAATAAATTTAGTTATAACTTATAGAGTAAACTACTTCTATATTTTTAGTTTAAATTAATTTAATAGTTATCTTAAAAAACCATTATTTAATTATCAGATTCAAATTTATACCTTTAGGTTGCTTTCTAAAATCAACGAGGTTTATTTAAGTTGTATTAAGTTGCATAAATTACGTAGCAGTGGAGTACTTGAAATTACGCCCTTACCTACAACGGCCACAACTGTGTGTTATTAAAAACTCAAACATTTACTTTGAATGGATGTAATTACGTTTTCATTTTTTTTTTTTAATTTCAACATTAATCACTCCGCACAAGCAATCTGCAAGGAAAGTATTGTTTCAATTTTCTAATAGTTTTTTATTCGTCGAGATAAATTTCACAATCTCGTTTTAAACTTTACATTCACCTTTTTGATATCTATACGTGTATTTCGGAAAACGACAGCAGTATTTACATAATGTAGAGTCCTGTCTTGGTTTACTTGGTTCCGCATAATTTTCTATTCAAGCGTGAACTGCGTTTGAAAGGTTTGTTTGTATTCCTTTTTTTTTCTTTTTTTGAAAAGAATTTTCATAATATTATGCCTATACGGTCTAACGAGAAGAACCCTATCTCGGAAAGCAAAATAAAACATTTCGTGTTGTAAATGTTATCGCTTGGTCAAACATCTATTAAAATATCCTTAATTTGAATACTCAATACACACTACAATATGTAAATATTACACGTACGCCAACAGCGGATAGGATGTCTACCGATGAGTAGATATTGATTTTTATTATAAGTTAGCTTTTCCGTTTACATAAATATTCTAATGGAGAAGTTATCATATGTTTTCATACGGCAAGTTCTTCAGGGTTTTTATTTTTATTTTTAAAAGCAAACTTTACCGGCGACTGGCCTATAATATAGTGGCTGTAAAATAAATCCGATTCGATTTCTCAATGATTAAATTCGTTACGATTTTGAATACAATTTTTATCGAATAAAAACTGTAATTGCTAATTACTTCAATAGGTACCAAAAATTGCATTCAGTCGCCATATAGTATACTAAACAAACTTATTTCGCTTTACCATTATAGGCAACTCCTACTATATTTCCTACTCATTTATATCGTATTTAGACATAACATATAAAAAATCACACTTAAAAAATATTAAAATACTGGGATCACGAATATGACGAAGACGATGTATACCTCAATAGTCGATCTAAAACGCCATGTGACAATAATACAATGCATATTATTGAAATAACTTGATGTATAAATAATAACAATAATTAAAATATGAGTTTATTATTACTTTTTAAAGTAGCATAAATAAAAATCTGAGTAATTAAATCAAATATAATGAAATGCTACCGGAAAAATGTATTACATTATTATTATATTTATATAAAGCTAAAATGAAGGGCACAATATGGCCAATGAGTATTGCATACACTATATTATTATTATTTACATTTTTAATATTATTATGGCTTGAGAGATACCTGAAAAATGGTCCCCATGGTGGTACAAAAAAAAGAAAAACCTGGTCGAAAGTGTGCACTACAATTAAGTATTAAACTTAATATTAATTATTATTATGACATTTTAGAAGAATATTGTGTGTTTCAAAAATAAATACTTCCCAACTGTTCTTGTAATGTATTATTATTATTATTATTATTGTTATAAAATATTATGAGCACAGTAGTATGTACACTGTACAAGTAAATATATAAATGTATTAGTAATATAAACCAAATTAGTATATTGCAGTCTGACAAAAATCAATTTTTAAACGAATTCAGAATATAAGACCACCCCTCCCACCTGATACCTCGTCTTGGTCAATGTGAATATAAAATCGTTTTGACACAATTATACACGTCATTATACAGTACACTTAGCTCGTGATGCTCATTATAGTCATCGGTCATACTACACGAACCTTCGACAAATTTTAAATAAAAGGGTGAAATATCACTGGAGTAAATCATACCGGTTATGCAGATTTCTATATATTTCACGCCAAGCCATGCCGTGCGTATTTATTTCGATTTTGTGAGGCCACTCAAATTACGGTACGACTTTTGAAATCGATTTTTCTATGCACACGAACAGAAATTAAATCTTGAAATGGAAAACAAATGATAAGAATTCGTAATATTAATATCCTATCGGATGACATAAGTATCGGTATGTAATACCTAACAGAAAGAAATCGTTTAAATGATTTTCGACGAGTGAGAATAATATTATAATAATATATATTAATATTTATGTATTCAAGCATATATTTAATCAGTTATTAAATTATTGGCAAATTTGATACGCACTGCTTGACGGGCCATCATGGGTACCGATAAAATTAACTCATACTATAATTATGAGTTTTGTTTACTTTAAAGTTTAAACTTTGAGACTCAGAGCTCGCTACACTAACATTTCTTGTCTACTTGTCTCCATCTTACAAGTGCGAAACATATCAAATTTTACGTTCAGAAGATCTCGTCTAGCTCCATTAGTTTGAAAATTAGAGTGAATTCACCCCTCATAAAATTTAAAGGTAAGATTATTATTTAGGGCATCTCATAGGCTTTTTATTATATTTTAATTTTGAAGCGAGTTATGTATTTCAAAATGTACAAACAATTTTCAGTTTTAAAATACTCATAACTTGCTTTAAAATTCAAATATAATAAAGAGGCTGGATGCCATGAGATGCCCCAGATAATAATCTTACCTATAAGGGGGGAATCTCTAATTTTTGAACTAACGGAGCTAAACGTGATCTGCTGAGCGTAAAATGTGTAATGGTACGCACTTGTAAAACAGAGATATCAAATGTCAGCATAGAGTTCTCTTAAAGTGATTTTATAATTACATTATTGTTCAGAATATTTAACACATAGTATACGTGCAACTTCTTAAGCAGAAAGTGTTTTGCTACTAAAACATATAAATCCAATAATCAATACACATACCGTTTACATTTATGAACTAACTAAATAATATTTACCACATTTTTCGTTATTATTACTACAGTTTTATTTTTTTTAAACGTATTTAAATCACAACATTGATCAAAATAATTTGTATTTTCTACTCAATTATTATACTGAAAATTAAATATTTAAAAAAATATATTTTTTAATATATTCTTTATAAATTTATTTATTTACATTAATTCTTTTTATATCAACTAGGTTAAAATTGACTAATACTTAGCTACAATTTATTTTTAGAAGACCTTCTTATCGTGCAAAACTTATAAATTAACTTGATAAGTAATAAGTTACGAAACGTAAAATATATTAAAAGTTATAAGTTATAACGGTGTATTTGAGTGTAAGATTTGTATAATATTTGGTATTCTATTGTTTAAAAAGTTAAGATGAAACTCATAAGAATTCAATCAGATATAAACAAGACAATTATATCAACTTTACTGCATTTATAACGTCATTATAGTACTTATTATACTAATATAATACTATTACACATATATTATGACGAAATTCATCATTGTGAATTTAAATGCAATGTTGGCACGAATAGGTCACCCTATATCGGTGCGAATTTATAAGATAAATAAGTTTTAAACTTTCTAACGACAATTGTATTTCAAATCGGCCTTTTGGTTTAATTCTAAGATTATATATAATCAAAAATGACTTTAATTATTAATATCGTAGTCGTGTGTATAATATTTGTAAATAAAAAATTACATTTTATAAATAATATATTATAGGCGGGTGAGTATAATCGTAATGCAAATGACGTGTACCTTGATGATGAAAAATATAGATCAATAACCACCACTATGTATAATACGTCATATTATTATTATTATTATTATTGTACTCATCAGAGAGGACTACATAATGTTTGTCAGAAATTAGCGTTGATATAAAGTCATTGAAATGTCTATCGTTTGAAATGCGCACTCACTTGAACTTGAAGTTGAAATCCGTGAAGTGGACCGAAAGGGTACATTAGAGTGCCATATGGTGACGTAGAAAACTGAACTAGCAGTTCAGGCCCACTAGACGTAGTCACGGGCACAGTTTCACCAGATCCGCAGAATCTCAACAAAATTGGATCTCTAGTTGTGTAACCATCATAAACGGTCACAAAATCTGGTACATTATCGCACTTGCTCCAGTCCTGTACATACATTTATTTATTTTTTAATTAGAAAAACATAAGTACAATCGAAATACCTATTGGTTTGCGTAATAATACAATACACATTTTAAGATACATGTGAGTATTTCAAATAAATTTCACAAGCCTAAGGTATTAGATCATCAACAATTATTGTTCATTACTATCATCAGGTAAAACTTTTGAAATATAGGGTGGGCCACGGAAAGGTTAATAGAGTTACGTGTCTATATATTGTTGGTCCTATCTCGTGGCCCACTCTGTATTTTGCAGTAATAGGTTCACTATAATTAACTTCCGGTTCTATTATATTTTGTTTCAATATTCCTTTTTTGAGGAATTTGTTAAAGTAAACTATTTATCATGCGAAGCGCTCAAAGTTTAATTTTTCAACAGTTTAGCATAAAATTATTTATACGGAGTAATTTATTATTAAAAGGGTTCCATCGGAAAACAGCCTTATATAGGTTCATTAATTGCTATAACAATATTTTGCTGGATACTGTTTTGTACCTCGAGTTAATTAACTCAAAATGGATTTAGAGTAAAAATAACAAGGTTAGTCGGTGAAATTGAACACTTTTGTTTGAATTTATAAATATAAATCATCAACGTTAAAATCTAATTTTATTTTTAAAACGTTGTCATTTAAACGAAAGACCCACTTATACGTGATATTATATCCTGCAAAAATTTAAAAAATATACTGCCCTTTATTCAAATACGTAGATTGAAATATTATATATATGGTGGTATAGGTTATTATGGCGAATACACTGTACATACCTTACCTATAGTGATTTAGAATAATATTATGAGTTATGACGTAAGTAAGTTCTTTCAATTTCCGATTGAATACAATACTATGTAGGGATACGAAATTTAATATCTACGTGACTGGTTTTTGTACGACAAAAACTTCACGGTAAAACGATAAAACGTCCCAAACTTGAGACAAATCTACTCGAGCGTAGCAGAATAGAATAGGTAAGAAACCGGTCGATTGATATAGGAAAATATTAATACGTCGTTCGCGGTTGTTATGAAATCGAGCCATCGTTGCAATGTTTTATAACTATTTCGTTTGTTTGGATAAGCCTAAGTATTGTTATCAACAAAATATTATGACGTTGGCGAATTTTCAGACCCTTGTCTATATGATATTGATTGTTTCTTGTTATTGACCGTCATGCTCATATTATTATATTATGACAAAATAATATTATACTCGAGACATCCGATAAACCCGACGATGACACACTACTTCGGTTTTAATGTCTCGTCTAGAGGCCGAGGAGGAGATTGGAAAAAAATACCCCACCGTGCATCGATATAAACCGCAGGGGTGGCTGTCCATACCTTCCGTTCGACGGGCTTTGGGTCAGCTCCTTCTGGATTGGTCCGGTCGGTCTTGATCGACACCAGACGGCTGTACGGCTGGGTGATGGATATTAGAGCCTGGTGGCCATACGGTATCGAGTGTTGCCGGATAGCGTAGTAGCAAGTCAAGTTGCGTGGATAGAGCCCAGGGTAGTTGGGTGACTGCAGCACGCACCTCTTCTTGTCGCAGTTGCTGAATATCCGCGAGCAGTATGTGCCCTCCATCAGGTCGCCCATGTGAAACGATTCGTTTACTCCTGTGGCACACGAACGGGAGATAAGCACACGAAAAAGGTTTGAGCGTAAAGGGTGTTAAAAATGTAATAAAACATGTCGAATAGGGCGTAAAACGATATAAATTATTCAAGCCTGCCTATATATACCGTGACGTGGGCGTTGGAGGCGACAAATTCGTAATTTCTAAAAAGGCCATTCGACATTCAACAAAGGTTGTTTATTTTTTCACATACTTATACCTAATATTCAACCTTGTGATATTATTTCAACAGACGGTTTGTGTTTGGTTTACACGACCTATGAAAACAGCGACCGGCCATCACTTACATAAATTCTACACCACGCGCGAGGTCTTATTATAAGTGTTATCTCACACCAGCCTGAATCGATTCGTCAAGTGGTAAGAGATAACTGTTATAAGTACTTTATAAAAAAAAAAGGAATAGTTTTTCACCACGAAATAAAGTTATGGCTGCATCACGAGTTGCTCTTATATTGTATTATTTAACTATAAAGGTTCGCTAAAGTATATAATATTGTAATGTATATTTGCGTGTCTCCAAACTCAGCCGAGACGATGACGACGGTCATTTGTGGGAACTCCCGTTATACATAAAATCTTTGTTGTATTGTTTTATGGCCATTTCGGGTCGTTTATCATTCCGTCGTGAAAAGCGCAAGACGGACCGATAGTGCAGCAGATTTATGTGCCAAACACAATATAACAGACAATCGTAGTCGTCTTAATTTAATATAAATGTGCTTACAATGGGTAATGGGAGTGATTGCTAATTTCTGAAATATAGTATAGTAAGCGATTATGTATACACTGTACAGTATACATATTTAAAAAAGAAGAAAACAAATATTCACACAATTTATGTGGTAAGTCACAAAATATAATTAAAAATATACTTTTATGTAATACTAAAAATGTCAATTTTTAGACATTTACTTTTTATTAATTTAAATTGTTTTAATTTATTGGTGATGGAATAACAATAATACATATTGTGATACATAATCTACTATTTATTTATTTGTAATTAAACTATGCCAGCAGTCACTATATAATTTAATTAACCAAAATTTCAAATTTCTTATTTTATATTTTAAAACTTAACAATATCTATAAGCCTCATCGGGAGTTATATTTTCTGACATACAGAAGTTTAAATGTACAGGTTTTTTTAATTCTTTCTTTAATTTAATTTTATATTGTTGTTCGCAGATACATCAGATAGAACTAAATTTCAAAAAGTAAAACTCTGTAAATGTAGCGAGTTTTATTGTATAGGTTTAGTAAGTTTTTATGTTGGTAGGATTGTAACACGTGTTTGTGTATGTGTGGCAAGGATATGTCGCTAAAAACTCGGGTGGTCACCCATCCGGGAGCTATCAACGTCGGTCGGTACGTCGTACGTACACTCAGAGCGCTTCCGCAGGTTGAGCGTACGACCGCGCCTCACCAGGCCACCTAACCGATATGTTGTTGAAAGTGACAATCAAAATGTATAATTATTATTATGTAAAACACCCTTACATAATATGAAAATTAAATTAAAATCATCTATTCAAATTTCAACCGATGTCCGATACCAATATTAATTAGGCTCAAACTATTATATCAAATAAAAATCAACATATTTAAACAAATGCTTGTGCGAAAAACACCTCTGGGACCGTACCATATCAAGCGTTAAGCTATTATCGCAGACTACCGACGAAAAAGTAAACATTGAAAACTATCTGGTATACGGGGGATCGGGAACGGTGGGATTTAGTGGTACCTCCTATATACAATATTCGCCATGAATAAAACCCTATGGCTTTATATTATACACTTTCCGTACGGATATATTCATATTTCTGTTCGGTCTAAAGCAGATAAGTATATGGGTGCAAAAAAAAATCCACACCGCCTTTAATTTAAATACACCATACCCTCCAAAAAAAAAGTGGATAATTTTAATCGACCTACAATGGCCGCCGTATTATGATGTACATTATACATAATATTATATAGCTCGTAACAAATTTAAATCCGAGAAAAGAACAAACGGCAATTAGACCACGATTATAATTTTAATTGAAATTGTTATTCGTGTATTAATTTAATAAAAAAATCTTTTCAAGTCTATTTGATCGATTGCTTTTGAATGTAAATGTCAAACACCGTTTATAAAATTATGCAAAAAAAATTCAAATTGTGAAATGAATACGATATTATGTACATTAACGTTTGAATATTTTTGTAAAACTACCAAAACATGATATAATATTGTTAGATTAATAAAACAATTATAATATAAGGCGTAAGATGTAATAATACCGTCTAAACGGTTCACTACATTATATAATGTTCATTTTTCTTTTGTAAACTAAATATTTAACTCCATAAAACTAATTAATGTTGACGAGCAAATTACTGCGTGTTAGATTTTTGAATGTCTGTTAAACACATCAATTGTCATTGGGTAATTTCTCAAGTAAATTTAATTGTATATATCAAGTTCCCGTTAAGCGGTTAGGAGGCACAGTTTGCATTCACTGACACGGATTTCTTCCAAATTGTTTGATCTATTTAATGTTTGCGCTATGCGCTAATGGAAAGTTATTCAAATAGTCCAAACTACAAATTTCAATTTGACAGCTGAACAAGCACTACAGTCAACAGTACTAGTACCTATACTGTACGGTTGAAAGTATAATAATATTACCAACATGTTTTAAATAATCCGACTTCTTACAAAGAACAGGAAACCCACTCTGCTGCATAGTATATTTGTGTATTTGTGTCCTTAAATAAGTGTTTTTCATGTATTTGTTCATTTTATGTAAAATCATTCAATCATTGGATACAAAAAACAAATCTAAGCGAAGATAGTGAACATCAAGTTGCAAAGATATTCTATCATTTAATTATATTAATTATATTATTACTTAAGTGCTAGCATTGATTAATACAAATTAATGGTTTATAATAAAATAATCAATGCTAAAATGATCTAATCAATGTAATAATGAGGTAGGTTCAACTAATTTTTGGCAAAGCATATTATTAAATTATTGTTATTACTGATAAAGTTATAAGTCGATACCAACTATAGATAATAAAGAATGGATAGGCCATGTATGCTTATCATTGAGGAACGAACATGAAAATATTTTGAGGATATAGAGGTCTATTCTGTTGATTATTCTGTGATAAGACCGCTATTAGAATGAGAGGCATTGAAAAAATCAGTCCTTCTCTCTTCCCCATTCCGGCACACGACCCTCTATTTGGTTAATATAGCAATGGCCTATCCATTCTTTATTATCTATGATACCAACGAACAGTGTGTAAATAAGCCCATGGTAAAAATAGTTTAAATTTAGTTGACATTGAAAATGTCATGGTGTATAGGAAATAATAATAAAAGAAATGGCAAAAAGTTTCAAGTTTCTTCTATTAATATATTTTTGATTCCAACAAAATAAGTAAAAGAAAGATTATTATTCTTCGTACAAATTCCGATTTTTTTCAAATTTTGAATTTATAGCGTTTATACAATTTTGAAATGTCTATAAGCTTCTCAAAAACAGACCAAAATATTTTTAAAATGATATCATATCTATAAAATGATAATATGAGTATTTAAATTAAAAAAAAATCGATTTTGTCGAAAACTGGTTTTGTATAAATATTCTAGTTTTCCCAATGATTTTGAAAAGCGCCGATAATTACTTTTAATCTCACCCCCTTAGTACCAAATAAATTTAATTTGTTACCCCGGTCTAGCCTCATTTAGTGACATATTTGAAGATTGAAAGAGTTTTAATGCTCCAAAAAATGATAGTAGATAAAAAGTACCTACACATAATTCTTAAACCAATATACATTCATCGCTCCACACAGAAAATAAAAAAGTATAAAATTTAAAAATTGTGCATTTAAAGATAACACAATAAAAAAAAAACCAAAAAATATTTATAATACAGGGATTGATGTGTTTAAAGGATTCGAAACAACTCTGATGAGGGAGGTTTTTTTGGCCTCTTCAGCATTCAAAGCGAATATAACGGTGGGTTAATGCTATAGAAGTCCGATCACTATGATTGATGAGGAACGGTATTTAGTATTGTACAATGATTACCATAATAATAATAAAAATATAAACAATAAAGTTGTTGAAAGACGAGATCATTTTATCGTTAACATTTACGCTAATAGAATCAAATTAGAATATTCTGAATAGCGTAAGCCTATTACAGGACAAGGAGTGATTCCATTTAACGTGTGACATTCGTTATTTCAAAAACCAATAGGGTTTCGTATAAAAAATAATTTTACATAACTTTAAGTAGTTAAAAAACAAAATTTTTCCAACAAATTTACATTTATGATTTACAACTTTATTTTTATCGTTATAGTTTATTTTAATTTAATTTTTTTTCTGTCTCAAAATTTGATTTTGATATATTTTAATACTTCGGATAATATTTTGCTTCAAAATAAGAAATTACAAACTTACGTAATTGTCATTTGTCATTCAAAATACTAAAAATATTTTTAATGGTGTAAATAAAATAGTAAAAAATGTTTTTTTGTAATTACTTAAAACTATGTAAAATAAATATATTTAAAAACAGTGATATTGTATATAAGTTATAACAATGAGTGTTTTAAATCAAATGCAACACTCTATGTGTTGGTAAACTCATGATAAAAAATATTAATGAAATGATCTATCGATGAATATAAATATAAAAATGATAATGGGTATTTCCGTATTGTCTCTCATTATCTTCTACGTTTATTATGTTTATTTTTAAATTTTGCCTACCTAATAGAACCTATTTTTTTTATATTCACCAACAAAATCAACAGATTTATTTATAACATTAATTATTATTGATAATATTTTGTAAATTATGTATCCCTCGATACATCAAAATATAAAATCCAGAAAAAAATAAAGAATGTCATAGGTACTGGTTTCTATTTTTCAATTTTGATATAGAGTTTTACTATTAT